AACCTTGTGGCAAATTCCAAAATTGCTACAAATAACTATTGTGGCTAATTTTTTATGTTTTGTGGCAAAATTTGGTGCCACAAAATGTCAAGTTTCTTATACTGTTACTTTGATAGTAGAGTAAAACCAAGGGCGTTCCAGGTGGGGGATTATGTTTTGAGGAAGCGAGAGAAAAGTCAACCAACTAAGGATGGGAAGCTGGCTAAGAAATATGAAGGACCTTATATCATCAAGGCTGTTGTTCGCCCAGGTACCTACAAGTTGGTGACTCCCAAGTGAAAAGAAATTGATAGGACATGGAATGTAGAGCACTTGGTAAAAATTTATCAGTGAAATCATTTGTTAAAGCGCTCTATTTTTAAATTTAAGATGTTTGTTTCAATGAAAATTTTCTTTCTTTTAAAGGCAAGTGCCTTTGCATTTTCATTGTTCTATAGATTTCTTCCAAAAGGGGGGGGGGAGAGCACCCCCGGGTGATATAGACCCGCATTACAGGGAGATAGATAAGTTTATGCCACCTGCTAAAAATAGGGGAGGTAGATAAGTTTATGCCCCCCGGAGGTAGATAAGTTTATGCCTCGGTCAAAAATGAAGGAAGGGTTGGGATTGGACTTTGAGGGCCTTGACAACGTGGAATTCTGGAAGAACAGCAAGCAGACTTCGAGGGCTGAAGCTTAGTATTCCCCAGCACAGATCAACCGAGCAAACAAACTTCGAGGGTTGGAGCTCAACTGATGCAAGGTAGATAAGATAATGCCTTAACCCGGAGGAAAGGAGGTCAGGGGGAAGTGAGGTAAGTTCCCATGACGTCTCCAAACCCCAGGAGATGAGATTTTATACAGAGAATGAATTATGTACTTGCATTAGAAAAAGTGCAAAGAAATAAACATTAAGGACCACATTGATGGGCCAAAGTTTACATTTCTGGTTCACAATAATGGTTCCTAGTGAGATAAAAAATGAGGGAGTTCATCGATTGCTAATTCAGAGGTTGTATCTTTGAATTACAACGATAATTCCTAGTTTGAGATTGTGAGACATTCCTTAGTTTGGGATGCAGAGAGAACTCCTGGACCAAACAAGTGAATGCCTCTTGAGATAAAACAAGAAAAAGAAATTTAATTTGCAGGGGGCTAGGCACTGAAGGAGGGCCTATTGCATCCATGCAGTCAACAAGAAGGAGGTGGGGGCCCCTTCCATGGGCTCCTTATCTTCGACGAGGGACACGCTGTGGAATCAGTGGCTTCCCATATGTCATAGTCTTCTCAAGTCCCAGGACGGGGAGCTAGTGCTCCCAATGCACAACCAATATTGAGAGATCTCAGCAAGTTTGGAGAAGCGGTCCGGCTTTCACGTGAAGGTTCTGCCTCGGCAATCGGAAAAGAGTGCCCGAGTTTAGCCCTGCGCATCAACCTAGCCATGTCGTTAGATTGAGCCGGAGAGGCAGGGAAATCGTCATCCGAAGAAGAAGATGTCCCAGAATGGGTTAAGTCGATGATGACTTTACTCCGAGATTTACTTGCCATGGCAAAGAAATCAGAAAGAGATGAACCCGCAGCAAACTATGCTTTCCCATTTGTAGAAGAGATAGTTGGGAAGCAATGAATGCAGTTAAGAGACGTGAAAGACTAAGCGATTGGCAGATGAAACAGTCGAAGGTTCCCAATGTTTGACCAGGGGTTTTTTGCCACTAAAGCGCATGGGCCAGTTAATTGGGCCCATTTGCGCTTTGGAAAAGATGTCATACGTGGAAGGTATGGAGTTAAATGAATATAGACTTCTACTTCATGCAGAGCACTACAAGAATTTGTCTGGTCTGCAACGGAAATCTTTTACGGACCTACTTCCGTAGTGGATCTGCAACGAATCTGCGACGGACGAATTATCCATGAAAAATAAAAGTAATCTGCGACGGAATTTCATACACTGTCGCAGATCTGCAACGGAAAATAGAGTACTGTCGCAAATCCGGAGACGACCAAGTTGGTCAAATTTTTCACAAAATATCTGCGACAGTTTAATTTTTCCGTCACAGATCTGCAACGGAATCTGCTACGGGCAGTGTTCGTTCACGGATCTCTAATAAAAATTGGGATCTCAGTCTCACAACTCAAAATCGAAATCAGTTCACTCGCCATCCCTTAACCCCCGTCGCCGCTAGTGTTAGCCCACGCCACGCTAGATCCCCCGACCGTCACCCGTCCAGCCGCGCCAGCCCTCGACGCCCCCGACCGTCAGCTGTCCACGCCACGCCTGATCCCCCGACCGTCAGCCGCCGCCGCCCTCGACCGAGTTCCCTCGCCACCACTCGCCGCCGTCGCCACTCAACCGCCAGTCTTCCCCGCTGGTCCTCTTTATATTACCGTGAATTTCAAGATAAGGTATTTTTGTTTACTATTATATAATTTATTATTATTGTAATTTTTGGTGAAATTGAATTTGTTTGTCTGAAATTGAGTGCATTTTTGGTGAAATTTAATTGAGATTGTGTGAATATGAGTTGAAATTGACATGAAATTGGGTAAAAGTTGTATTAGTTTTTCGTGAAATTGATAGCATTTAAGGTGTCATTTTAGTTGAAATTGTGTTTGTTAATTTAACATTTAATGAGAATTTAGGTAAAATTTACTTCAATTTTGTGAAATTGAGTGCATTATAGGTTGATATTTGTAGTTATGATTGTTGTTTTTGGTTGAATAAGATTTTTGTTTCTTAGCCTTTATTGTTGCTATTGTTGGTTGGTAATGAATGTGGTTGATATTCTTAGTTTAATGAGGTGGCAGGAAGAGTACTGAAGATCACGAGGACATAGGTGGCGATGACCACAACTCCGAGGACCTTTTAATCATACTTAGATGTTTCATTTGATGTATTTTAGCCTTGTCTTCTTGTAATGTAACTGCACTATGTTCTAATCAGCATATAACAACTCTACATGTTTTTTCTAGTTTCCCTATTAGCATTAACCTCTCTGTGCAAGTGTTAGGCCCAGTTGTTGTTGCTGATGGAATGACTGGTGCTTCCATGTATAAGTTGGTTCGTGTCGAGCATGACATCCTCATTGGGGAAATCATTTGATAAGAAGGAGATTCAGCTACAATTTAAAGTATGTGATTCATGATCTTATTCTTTAATAATATAATCCATGCTAATGTTTTATTCTTCCTGGAGAACATGTAACTCTTTTGCGTCCATCTCCCACGGTTCCCCTTCTCTTTGTTGGCTAGTAAAGTGTGAAAGTGAATACTATGTATGTCTTTTGATGTTTGTGTGAGTAGATCATAGTGCAAGTTACAAGATCCACCAGAAAACCATCATTTTTAATGAAGAGGAAAACCAAGATCAAGCTTTCAAGGGAACTGCCTTCAAGTCCAAAATTTAGGTTTGTTTTAATGCTGATTTTGTGTCCTTTGAAGTGCTTATTTTCTTGAATATGAACTCTTATCTCAATATAAAGTACATGGGCTGATTCTTGAAGCATAACATGATGTTCATATGTTGATTTTGATGCATTATGTATGTAATTTGCAAAAAAACCTAATCTGATTTGCATTCTTTTTAAAAAATCAGCAACTTTTTTCTTGATTTATAATCTTATTTTTGTATTCCTAGAGTCTCATTAGAAACTTTTTGATGCATTATGTTTTGAATATATGGAGTTTTTGAAGTATTTTTTGTTTATTTATTTCTTCTAATTTCTCTTGTACTTGTTGATAGGTGGAAGCAAAAAACAAATTTGAAGACTAAAAATTTCTTCCACGAATATTTATTCTTAAATGCTAAAAAAATTGGTTTTAGCCATTTTTTGTGTGCAGATTTTAAGTTCAGGCT